GGAAAAGTGACGTAACACTATTTCATTTTTGGTTTTTATGTTTTTTGTTTGTTTGTTTTTTAAAGAGTCTCACTCACACTATAGCCCAGTCTGGTCTCAAATTCACAGCAATCGCTCTGTGTCAGCTTCCCAAGTGCTGGGACTGTAAGCATGAAGCATCACCCCAGCAAAGTCTCTTCAAGTTGCCCACACTCGAGTTGAGAAAAGGGTTGCTACTCAGTAAAGGAAAACCCGGGTGTGAACCCATTTACTGACAAAGGTGAAACAGTGACCCCGGGAATCTTACGTGACCAGTATTACGTGGCCAGGTTTTGACATTCAAATTTAACTGATCCTCTGACAGGCTACCTCTCAGAAAGTAGGTCCAGTGATGGGGGAGTCCTTCTGTACAGATGTTTCTCTTATTGGTTGATGAATAAAACACTGTTTGGTCAATAGAGGCAGGAAGAAGGGCGGACTAGGAGACGAGAATTCTGGGAAATGTAGGCAGAGACCAAGAAGAGATGCCATGTAGCAGAGGAAGGAGTATCAGGTCCAGACCCTTCTCCAGTAAGATAAGACCACGAGGAAATACCTAGATTTATAGAAATGGGTTAATAATTAAGATAGAGCTAGCCAGTAAGAAGCCCTTTATAGTTAACATAGCATCTGTGTGCTTATTTGGGGCTGAAGCGCAGAGGGACCAAGCTGGGAAGAAACTCCAGCAACAGTCCAGAGCTGAGAAAACTGCCTGGCCCTCAGTTGCTCCAGATATGACAGCGTGAAGACTGAAAACTAGATGATGCTGGACACAGTGGCAACCCAGAACTCAGCAAACAAAAGCAAAGGAACAAGCCATGCGCAGTGGTGAGCTCTTACAGCCACCAGCAGCTCGAGCTGAAGGAAGGTGATGGGAAGTTCAAGGTCCATAAGAGCCTGTCTCAAAAACCCTCTTGCGAATCCACAACCACACTTGGGCACATGCCACCATCCTCCCAAGTGCCTGTCTCTTTGTCTTACTGCTCATGTTGGTCTTTTAAACCCTTCTGTATTTTACTTTCAGTCTTTTATACAGTCTTGCTCACTCTGTGTAGGGCAGTCTTTTATCCCTGAGACTGGAATTACAGACAGTTGTAAACAGCCTTGTGGATTCTGGGAATTGAACCCGGGTCCTCTGGAAGAGCAGCTGGTGCTCTTAACCACTGAGCCATCTCTCCAGCCCCATGTAGAGCAGTCTTGTAGTAGCTTCTCGCCTTGCCAGTGAATTAGTGGCTTGCCACTAACTTGCCAGTGAATTAGTTAGTGGCTGCACCCCCCTTTGGGCGTGGCTTCAGGTGAGCACTTGACCGGAAGGGAGAGAAGTACAGGGCAGCCACTATCTCTTGGATCACTGATGGCACCAAAAGGACAAAGACCACATCTTCTGGAGCAGGAATGCCATGGCGGTTCTTTACTGTTTTCTGTGTAAGTTGCTCCCCAATGAAATACCCACTTATCATTTATCTTGGGTCTAGTGAACTCATTAATACCATGCCTTCACAGTCTGGCTACAAACTCAGGTCATACTCCTGCAGCTGTGCACTGAATTGGCTTAAAAGCTTTTCTTAAATGCACAGGTGTAAACGTTTGCAGACCAGAGGTCAACACCATGCATTTCTAAGGACCCATCCAAGTTGGTTTTATTTGTGTTATGTGTGCACTTGCTTTTTATGTGGCTTCTGGGCTGAGCTGCAAGTTTGTTTCCAACTGAGCTATTCCTCCAGCAGCAACAGCCTTCCTTCTTCCTTTTTTCTTATAGTGAAAAGCAGAAAAAAGAGGTTTTTTTTTTTTTTTTTTTTTTTTTTTGGGGCTTTGGGGCCTATCCTGGCACTTGCTCTGGAGACCAGGCTGGCCTCGAACTCACAGAGATCCGCCTGCCTCTCGAGTGCTGGGATTAAAGGCGTGCGCCATCAACGCCCGGCTAGAAAAAGGAGATTTATTCAAGATGATCACATTGAGAAAGGAATGAAGTAGGGACCAGGCAGTGGCGGTGCAGAGGCAGTCGGATCTCTATGAATTAGAGGGCAGCCTGGTCTATGAAGCTTTGAGTTCCGAGTTCCAGGACAGCCAGGGAGGTTACACAGAGAAACCCTGTCTTGAACACGCCCCCCACCCAAACAGAAAGAAACAAAGTGATGAAGTGACACCCCCCACACACACAACTCAAGTCCATCTTCCAGATCCTGAAATGAGAGTAAAGTTTAAAGAGAAGGCGAGAACTATGTCTAACCACTCGGGCCAATGTGTGGTCCTGCACACCACTAAAACCCACAATTGGCTGAGCAGATGCTGTCAGGTGGCCTGATAAGCTGTAAATATCTTTTGGGAGATGAGGCACACAGATTCCTTAATAAACTCCAACACTGCTTTAAAAAAATAATGCCAGGCATAATGATCTTTAATTGCAGCATTCAGGAGATAGGGGCCTGTGTCAGCCACATTGCGTTAAGGCCAGGGTAGGCTGTGCTAGAGTTTGGAAAGGAAGGGAAGAAGG